CCCCAAAACCCCAAAACCCCAAAACCCCAAAACCCCAAAACCCCAAAACCCCAAAACCCCAAAACCCCTGACGACAAACAAGTTGTTGACAAATTAATATTTATTAATAGTTTGTTAGAACTTGTTTAAAACAATTTTTTTAAGAAAAGTATGCAGATTGGAAATTGTTGGAGATTTTGGCGGCTTGTATAAGCAAAGCAGATGGAGAGCATCCACTTTTGAGACTGCTTGCGAAACACCAGCTAGTAGTTTCTCCAAATACAGCTAGAATACTTCTCGAAGTAGAATTTGAATATAACCCTTCTCGTTCTTTCCAAATCCCTTCTCTCCCACTCATCCCCACAACTCCTAACCTTCACCTTCCTCTTCCCCACCCTTCCACCCTTTCATCCCCCCTTCATCCCCTCTCTCCCCACCCGCTTTCCCTCTCCACCCCTCTCCACCCCAAAAATCTCCCACTATCCCTCCTCCCCTCCCTCCTCCACCCAATCTTCCAAACTCCCACCCCTTTCTTCCTCCTCCACCCTCCTTCTTCTCCCCAGTCAGCACCTAAAAATCTCTTCTGGTTCAAAAGTTAGGAACAAAAATCCATCAAATTTTCAGAAAGTAATTAACTAACCTATTTTTATTAATAGAAAACAAACAAATACAACAAAAATTAATTAGTATCTCCTTGATTTCTGTCCAAAACACAAATTTCCCAAAATCTACATTTTCTGTTTACCAATTTCTGACCAATTTTTTCCAAAATCCTCTCTCCCACCAACACCAAGTCCCTCCACCACCCTCCAACAGCACCACCACTCTCACCACTCCATCCTCTCCTCCAACCCTAAATGCTAACTTCCAACTATAATTTTTCTGAAAATTTCCCATAAACAAAATTGTTTACCAAATTTGTTAAAAAAATATTAAAATTCCAGTCAAATTTTTAAAATTTCTATTTTTTAGGTATTTTATGGGAAAGTCTTTAGGTTAGGATTTTTATTGGCTTGGAAGAGGTAGGGGTGGAGCTGGAGGGTGGGCTGTAGGGGTGTTGGGGAGGGGATTTTGGGGGCTGAGTGGGGAGGAGAGGGGGAAGATGGGGACTGAGAGGGGTGTGTTGGAGGAGAGAGGGGGTTAGAGGGGATGGGAGGGGTAGGAGGGGTGTTTGGAGGTGGAGGAGGAATGGAATTGGGGGAGAAATGGATTGGGATGGGGTAGATGTTGTGGGGCTTATTTTGTGAAAAAATTTGAAAGTTTGTAGGAAATTCATTGATTCAATAATAATTTTAACTCGGGGTTTTGGGGTTTTGGGGTTTTGGGGTTTTGGGG